AGGTTCTTGAAAATAAATTTGGCTCGCAAAATTTGTTTAATGGTCCTGCTGCTGATTTGGGCTCTTTTGACCAATGAGTATGCTGACCACTGCTCTTTAGTATGTGAACGTAAAAACTCAGGGGCATATTGGATAGGCGAGGGCACTATGTTTTTCCTATTAATGAGGGTGGGGGAAGGTGGGTTCGTCACCAGCACGGAAATACGTGTTAGTGGACTAGTGTGTTGTCACTATGTCGTGTTAAATATGACTACTACAGCGACCTCTTTATGAAAACACAAAGCATTAGTATACGGTATACGATAAATGCGAAGCATTGTGGTATTTGTATAGCCTTAATAATAATAATAATAGACCTAATTAGAATTCGTGGATTTCAGATTTTCATGTGACAGTTGGCTCTATAAGAGACTGTCAGGAATCAGGATAATTATTGTAGAATTTATGCCTACATGTAGGTGCATTCTGGTGCCCCCCCCCCTCCAACCCAATCAAAACTCATACGCATCCTCAGCGAGTAAGTCATCTTTGGATGGCCCTTTAAGTTGGCAAGGCGTGCAGCTGGGGGCGAGCTAGGAATCATTGTTAACTTTTTCATTTTTATTTGAAATGTTATATATGGGCTGTCCAAACAGCTCTGGCGCTAGAATTTGGCTGCATTGACCTATGTGCACATTGCGTGATTTTAATGTTACCATTATCATTAATGGAATCGGCAATCATTCTTGTTTTCGGTTCCGTAGTTGACCTCACTTAGTATTTTACGATATGACCTCGACAAAAAGAAAGGCTCGCGGAATGGGCGATGAAGAAGAAACTTCTCTTTCTACCGATAAACATCCGATTCAACAACAGAAAAAGAAAGTTTATCAGCAGATAGTCTTGCTTGAATATCAGACTAAATTGACTGGGTTGCGTTCTTTGTCGAATGGTCCATCATGCGCGCACTGCACAATTACACAATCTGCAAGTCGGACTTTTCATGAACAATCTATCAGGGACAAAAGGAGTGGTGTTGATTTAGGAAATTTTGGGTTTGGCGTGGGTCTAAATACTTAAATCTATACAATCAACACCGCGACATTTCCGTAATGACAGGTTGGGGGGGGGGGCTGTTCCTCGGCAGAAAGAACGTACGTTATTTAAAAAAATCTACAATATTCATCTCCTAACTCTAAAAAATCCAAAAATAGCATTCTATTTATATCTCGAATGCTGTACAATACCACCCGATGTTTTGTAGGAATTATTGCGGTGATGTTGTCAAGATGTATTTTCACCAATAAACTCGTTAGCAGTAGTAGAGAAGTTACAGTTGTGTTTAGTCATGAGTGTTCAGCGCGCGTGTGACGCATATTTCGTTGGGCTACGCCAGTGGTTCTTATAATTTTGTTTCCCGGCGCATATGTCATATTAGGTTTTCGCCAGGGTTTCCTGGATGAAATTCTTACAAGTACACTTCGAAATAGGGAATACACAAATAAAATAAAGGGTGGGATAAAAATAAATATATCGTTTATGGAGGTAACAAACATGGAGGTATCTATAGCAGATGCAGGTCTTCAAAATGAAGTGACCGCAGTTTGCAGTTAACGTCATTCGAATACTGATTACCTTACAGTTCCATTTTTTAACAAACCTCTGAACTGGATTCCACTGAACACGCTATACCAGTAGATGATGTATACATTATATATTATATATACTGTATATTTATGTATTTACTATTAAGATAATGTATTGTACGATTTTGAGACGATATTGTACGATTTTAGGAGTTTAAGGGTAAACAGGTCTGTTATAGAAAATAGTCACAGTAACTTATAGTCTTAGCTAAGAATGATTAAATTATTGAGAGTTTAATTTGGAAAGATATTTTGGAAATGATTTGAGGAATGGACCAAACTTTTACCACTGATCATACGAGGACAGTCATTTCTTGTATTTTTGTCTATTTAAGCCATCATTTTGCGGTACCTGGAGCAGAAATCTTGTGAGCTGAACTTTGACACTCACTGGGTCTACAGACTACTATTGGATGTTGGGGTACCGCCTGGCAGGCTGTTGGAACTCTATGACAAGCTCTACAAGTCCAAGGTACACTTTGGCATTGCTAATAAATAACAGTGTGGTTATTTCCATCACTGAAAGCATTAACTTTGTATTGTGTACAAATAGAATCAACTTTCAACACACATAGAAAAGATGAAATGGAATTATAAACATATTTCCATTACAAATTTTTAAAAGTACAATTATTAATTTTGGAATCGCTTTAGATAGGTACATTCAAATAATGGTATATATTGTGGCAATAATCCACTTAATTATCAGCTTTCCGTGTTTCCTTCATTGTTTTTTAAGACACAACTTGATTCTTTAGCTTGTCTGCATCATGGACATAGATTTTAAGGGATATAAATTCCTTGCTTATCACCTATTAGAAACTGCTTGTCTATTTCTATGTTCTTTAATCCTTGTGATTGACAAAACATTTTTTTTGTTAACAATGTTTCAATGATGGTGAGCTAATGCAGAATCTTGTCTTACAGGATGTTGTGTGGCAAAACCAGCACAAGCCCCACCATGTACTCACTGTGCTCCAGGCATTCATTGACCACTTGACCAGAAACCCAGGACTCATTCCACCATCTGACCGTAAACGTCTGGTCATGTCCTGCATGGACATAGTGACCGGGTACCTGGTGGAGCTGCAGGCCACCAGCAGTACTGACCCTGGGGTCAGATCACTGACTGCAAGTTTCAAGGCCACACTGGCAAAGTTGGAGAGAATGTAGCTCTGTAACATTCATCAATCAAAGAAACTCTCAAGAACAACTGAACTTTTCAAATTATCTGCATTTACATACTTATACTTAAACTGATTAGCAACCAAAATAATCCAAGCTTGACAGATCATGTTTCGGAAGCTTAAACAAGAAGTTGTCATTAGATGAATCCAGTGACATGATAAAATGTAAGTCATACCGGATGGGTAATGACCCCCTAGGCATCATTTTAGCAAGTAGGACATGCAGTGCTTGGTGATGGTCCATAGTTAGTATCTGGGCTCCCACATATATCAATATATATAAATATACATTAACAAACTTTAATAAATAAAAACAATGCCACACCAGTCTACTTTGATTATTATTTAGCATATGATCAGCTTTAATGATTATGGAGATTGAATGAAATTTAATAAATTACAATATAAACAAATGCTTCAGTGACTTTTAAAAGTGACAAGAAAGTGGAAGATTAATAATAAAAATAGTGCACGCAAAAATAATAATAATTAGGGCTCATAATCTCCTTTTTTTGTGTGGCTATTCTGGAATTTAAGGCTTTGGAATTATAGTTTGCCATTGATACAGTAGAAAGTAAGAGATGACATGATTGAGATTAATTAAGGCACAAATGCTGTGACTGAAATTGGTCAAGTACTGTTCAAATGTTATAAGTATAAGACTTTTGTTATATTTCATTTCAGTTGTTTCAAGTGAGATTGTATAGCAAAATGCCAGAGTGTGATTGTGTGACGACATGTTTTAGTGTGAGAGTGTTCCAAGATGATCTAGTGTGAATCTTGAGTATGACAATTATGGAAATATTGTATGTGGTATCCGTGGCTTTCTTCGACATAAAACTTTGAAAAGTGTATTTTTTTAACTCTTTGCTGAGGACTGTTAAAATGCCTTGCCTGCATTAAAAATGATGTAATTTGTACCCAAGTTGTTGTGTTGTCCTTATGGCACTGTACCACTCTGCCTGGTGCATGAAGTGATCTAAGTTCTGTAACACTGTAAGATGTGGTGGATGTTGGTGGTAACTCATTGTGGTTTGACCCATTCCTGATGATCACTAACTTATCTGGATTTTTAAATCTTATAATATACTGAACCTGGTATCTTCAGTTCAGTCAATGAAATATACAACTGTCATTATAGCTTACAGAACCTATTTGATTGGAAAACTAGAAATAAAAGGGCTACATTAGTTAAAGTTTACATTATATGCCTGCAGCACTATTTCCAATAAATCACATTAGCCAAAGTAGTGGACATTCATCTATACATAAACATGTGTTGTCAATATTGTGGTGACCTATTGCACATGACATGTCAAAGGTTACTGCTTCCTACTGAATATCTTCTTGTTATTTTACACATGCACCAGGCAGCTTGAAATATTGATGGACAGATTGAAGGCATTTTATTTTAATACAAAGGTACCTGTCTTTATGGATAGTGCAACTTTTTTTTTTTTTGTGTGCAAACTTCGCCATATTCATTAAAAAAAACAAAAACATGACGCCATAATTCCATTCAGCTGCCAGATCTCCATGATGGTTTTCTGTGATAAAAGTTGATCCTTGATTTTCTAAATATCTGTACCGTAGTATTCTGTTGTCAAAACTTGGCATTTATTCACCACTACTACTACCTATATTATAAACATAGCCGCCAGTCAGTAAGATGGTTGAAAAAGGGAGATGACTCTTGCAGTACTTTGACATGGTGATAATTAATATAAGAACTCGAAAGCAAAACACAATTCTAGATATAAAATAATTTATTTGTACCACCAAAGCAAAAATAGGATCACATTGTGTATGTGTAGGCAGTGGCGAACCGGGGGGGGGGGGGGGGGGGG